GGGAGCCACCGCCAGTCCTCTTCAAGGCCTTCTCCAAACTGCAGCTATTCAGAGTGCAGATTATTAAGCAGACTATTTGCTTAAAGAAAATGGACTGGTGCTCATAGCGCTTTTCCACTCAAGCGAACGGTCATTTTTACTATAGGCTTCATTCACCCAGCCAAGCACTATTTTCTACTTGTCTGACAGGCACAGATTTTCATCGAGGGCAGCTCAGAGTTCAGTCTCTTTCCCATCCTCACCTCACCCCCCACCCTTTCAGAGTCTTTATTAAGGTGTCATTGATGAAGACGCTTCTGACAGCTAAACAATGTCTTGTGACTAAACACAGGATATGGCGCTCAACCATCACCCTCATACCTCGTCCTGTTTGACCAGACAGGTTTACATGCCGGGTGCGTTGTCCCAAAGCAACAGCTGACATTTGCAAATATTCTGGTATATACTTGCACTAGAGGAGGGATGGTAGCTGTCTTCAGTTTGAGCTAAATTGCAAAAAAAAATTACACAGTTGTAATCATTAGATGTGTGAGTTTTTCTGAAGGTTGACAAATAAAATATTTAACTGAATACGCTGATTTCAGTTCCTCACTCACGACGCAGTGATGCACTGGTGGATTTGTTGTACCTCTAAGAAAGAAAAAAGGAGCTTTTATAAATGTGAATATACATGTGCGTTCATGCATATTAACATTTATGCTACTAGTTAGCAGTTACCTCTGAGCTTTAACATCATTAATGTAATTTTGCAAGACTAAAGCAAAACAAGAAAGCAGACAATGTAAGCTGACCTCCTTAAAGTCCATCCACTTTGGCTTTCTCTGTGTTTTTATGATTCCTGCTTACAGCTACTATTACACACGTGTCTGCCAGTACAGGGAGACGTGACTGTTGGATGTTAAAGGTTCATGAATCTGGAACCAGAGGAGGTGATGATGTCTTTAAAATGTGAGGCCTAATTAACAAGGATACAGGATTTCAAGCAGATGCTAATTCTTGGCATGGGTGTAGTTATGCTGAGTGTCATGGCACAAAAATACTGCATTTGTAGGTGGCCTGTCTAGCAATAATTTAATTGGCTGGAAGTGGTGAAGTCTAAATCTAAACATACAGTTTAAAGTTAGTTCAGGTGACTTTTAATGAAGATTTGGATTGGGAGCTAAACCATGCTCACAACACAGACTGTAACAGCATTTGCATTTTTATGTGAAATACAGGTTCAGCTCCTGAAACTACTTCAGGGGTTTCATGAAATCATGGAGCAATCTCGCAAAATCGTAGATTTTTACATAGCTGGGAGTAATGATGTCCTAGTGAGCTATGCTAATGCTAATCCTGCTCAGCAACTTGAAACTCTGTAATGTTTGCTTGACCTCATTGTCAGTGCTACATGCGTATTCACTCGTGTGTGTATAAATATTAGCTGTGTAGCAGCTGCTAACCTGAGTCTTGACCTTCACTGGTCAAAAAAATACCCCTAAAGAGTAGTACTAATATTTATCTACTGCACACTGACATTCGAAAGGCTCATCACGTTACAGGCGTTAAGAACATTTTAGTACTTCCAAATGTTAGGAGACACCGTCTGGCTGACATCCAGCTTTTGATAAAATATCAGCACATCAAGTGCAGAGTAATCCAACAGATATCAGCTGACTGATTTCCTACTCATGAGGCTCTTGTGCCAAAGTGTTTGTTTAACCAAATGCATGCAGAAATGTGATGAGTGCGGCCTTTCCTGTGGTCTCTGGTCAACCTTGTGCCACGTGAAGTGTGCAGAACACAGTGTTCAGCTGCGCGCTCTGCCAGCAAATAAACCTCGAGATACCAGAGAGTTTACAGGAACCTCAGCAGCTATGCTCTCACATTTCCCCCTCTGACCTAAAGTGGACATCTGATGATCTGAGTACTTAAGCCGGGGAAGCTCCCCTCCCCAAAGCCAGACATTCTGCAATTTGTCTCCCTCCTCCTGCTGGATAGCCAGCTGTTTCCACCTCACTACCCTTATTCCCAGCCCCTCTACACTATTTCCCATCATGGAATATAAAATCACTCCCTGTCTTTTGCTTTCCTCACTTTATCATACATTACCCTTATTGAGTGTGTCATCACAATTTAATAAAATAATACCACCCCTGTCCGTGCACACATTCTCTCTTGTTGCCTTGCTTTCACACACATGACCCAGCAGCATTCCTATACGTTGAGCTCACTCTGTCTATCATGCACACATATACACGCCCCAAGATTTCCTCAACTGAGCACAGCGTGCTGTCTCACAGCCAGAGCAGCACATTGTATATACATGTATGTACAGAGGGGATGCAGACGTTTCAAGTTTCTGTCTTCTGAGACGTTGCCTTGTGGCAGAAAATTGAGGTTGTTTCTTTATTCTTTAGGTGTTGTTGGGGTTTTGTTTATGGTTCCAACACCCAAACACATTATCCAGTGAATATACCTCCACTGTATTGGGTGGGTCGAGATCTCAGCAAACCGATGGCTCCAGACTGCTACAGTGAAGTAATAAGCCGTTTTATTCTATAATTTGGGTCATTTCACACTTGAAAATTCTTTCCAAGGTTTTAAAGTCTTGACAGTGTTTGCACTCTTATTTCCTTGTTTGAATGTTTATATTCACATCTGCTCAATTGCATGGCGACGTGCATATGTGCTACACTTTTCTGGGTTTTCTAGACCAGCAAAGTGTTGATGGCGCTTTCTAAACAGCGTTTGTGGCCTCAAGCTTTTGGCTTGTAAAGCACTGATTTAAGATAGGACCCTGGCTCCAGACCAGCTGCCAAACTGCCTGGGTGAAAAAAAGTTTTATCAGCGGGTAGATAGAGCTAGATATTTTGTCTGAGGAGTTTTGAAGTCTGAAACAAAGTTAAGCAAAAGTGAATTTTTAATTCAGTACAGTTTGAATGTATAATGCCAGTTCACAGAGATCTTCATAGGTAAACACCCTAAAATATTAGAGAGAGAACCCAAAAGATGAGACAGGGAGTGAGAACTCTCTGGGGGATGCTGTGGGATTCCCAAGATGCAAATGAGTCTTTCTTCTTCAGTCACCTTCTTCACTCACTATGTGTTTATACACCTCTCTGCATTTAATTATTGGTTATTACTAATCTATGGCCCTCTTCCACAGGAATTCTTTGTCCTGTCTTCATCTGGTAACCCCCATCCCTCCCTCAGCCTGCTTTTGCTTGTGGTTTTTGTTAAAAGGGAGTTTTTTCCTTCCCACAGTCGCCAGTGCTTGCTCGTAGGGGTTCATGTGATTGCTGGGTTTTTCTCTTTTTTTCAGTAGTCTTTACCTTACAATCTAAAGTGCCCTGAGGAAACTGATTTGGTGCTATATAAATACAATTGAATTGATTTAAATTGACTATTAAAACATGGCAGAAAGTGGCAATTGTGGGAAGGAAGAACTTCCTTTGAACAGGAACAGGGAGCGACAGTCATCTTTTGTGAAAGATTAAGCTATCAGGGAAAAGAGGATTAAAAATTTCATGGAGTGAACAGAAACTGAAAAAATGCTTCCAAGCACACTGATGTTATCTAAACACACAATTGGTGCATCAGATGCATCACTGAAGAAATAATGTTTTCAGTCAAATGCTGTGCAGGAATCGGCCCTGTCTACTTAATTCCACTTTGACAGCCAAGTCTGAAGTACAACCAGCTGCTCAACAAGCTGTGGCTGCCCAACATGGCTGCCCGAAGGTGCGTTACGTCTGTGAAGAGCTCTTTCAGGATCACTTAGGGTAAAATTTGCACATCATATATAACATTTTACAAAAATATAAAATAATAGACTTTAACAAGGCCCGAGGGAATTTCTATACGATCGTCATAATAAAAGCTATAATAGTAGATTAAATTTGATATGATGCCATTTCAGACATTAACCAGCTGAGGCAGTTGCTGACACAGGCGAACTAGAGACCTGTGACCTTGAGCAAATACTGTCAGTGCTGCACTGTTGACCTGAGCAGTGTTGCTCTGACGATAGTCACACTAAACTCTGCCTATCTATCTGACAAGGCCACATGGAAAGTACAGCAACTTTGGCCACAACCAATGTGGAACAGCAGCTCCATGCATTAAGCGTGTGAGATAGAGGTAAGGATGGTGATTAGTTGTCCCATGTGGCCGACAGGGTGTGGTGAGAGAGAAAGGACAGCCTCTCCTTAGCTACAAGACTGAACTGATTCCAGAGGCAGGAAGAAAAGTGGGGTCACGTAAATGCTGAAATATGAACTCTGGATACTGATGATGTTTGACATTAAAAACTTGATCCCAGTCACTTTAGCACTCAGAACCGGGTGGATTTTGGCTGTTCTCCCATCCCTGAGCACGTCGGTGACATGCAGCACCCGATTTAAAACAAAGACTTTCCGAGTCTTATCAAAGGAGGGGGGAGGCGGGCATGGAACAAAGCATCCCTCTGCCTCTCGCACTTGCAGGCCTTCACTGAGGTCCATGTGCAAAATAAATGGCTTTGAAGTGCACTCAGTTGTGGCATGCCAATTTGTTTTGTTTTATCTGAAGCTGTGTCAAAAAAAGCCATATGTTGGAGAAAAAGTTGAAAACTTGAAAGGAGTCAAAGAGTCCAACAATGACTCAGTGAGCATCTGGATTTCTTTTTTCTCTTTTTTCTTTTTGTTCAAGCCAGAGGAACATGAATTGTCTACAATCCAAACATAACATATTGGTGTTTGAAAAGCTAAACATGAAACTAAGAGGAGACTAAAAAGGTGACCAAGTGCAGTTTTTAGTCCACTGGGGAAGGCAATTCCAGTAGACAATCAGCTGATCAATCCTACAACGATTAAATGTCAAGAGTCTTAAGTTGCTGGTCTTTTTTTTTTCTTACGTGCATGACATTGTGTTATGGCAGTGAAGAAAAATGGCCCTCCTGTTTGTCACAAATGAAGGTCAAACATAACTTCACGTCTGTTGTTGGCATGCCGTTAACTATGACTTCATGTGTGTTTCAGAGCATTGAGCGAGAGGAGCCAATTGAAGTCGACCCAGCCCCGACACATTCTGGACAGGAAAATGGACACGCTGTTTCTAAAGGTAATCACACAGCTATGGTCTCACATCCTCGCAGTGCAGCTTGTCCCCGCAGTTAATGATAATACAGTCACAAAGCATTGTTTCAGGGAGTTTCCAGTTATTTTACCCAGCGTGCTTAGCCAAAGGAAACAGATTTATGATGTTTTGTGGCTATAGCGTTAGGAAGTGTATCATTTGTAGACCATAAAAATCAAAGCAGAACCATTTTTGGAACAGAGGGTAAAGTGGGGGAGTTATCAGCTAACACTAGCACCTTAAGTAATCTATATTTACAATGTAAGAAGGTTAGGTTAGGAAAGTCTATAATACAGTAAGAAGGAGACACAGTGTTTGTACTTTTTCTATAAGTCCCCAAATATTTACAGTTTAGTTTGTGTCTAATTTCTCATTTTTGAAGCATCCTGTGTGTCCTTTCCAATTCAGAGGTATTCATGATAAATGTTGGGGAATGACAGCAAGTTATTATGAAGTGCTGTCTGTCTATCTTTAGCATGCTTTATCAGCTTTTTATACCTTTTCATCCAATCAGAACATTCAGTGCTGCTACATGGAAATATCTGTCCACCCACTGACTCTCCACATGAGCACGCTCCCATTGTCACCATGCGGATGCCCCACCTCCCCATTACTGCTACAACCAAGACAGCAGAAATCAAAAGCTCACCCATTGTTCCAAGTAGCCCTGCAAGTCCTCTGACCTCTCTGGCCTCCTCCGAGGCCTCACCTGGTAGCCAGCCAGCTTCTAGCACCACCCTGCCCGAGCCAATAGAGGAGTCTCCGATACAACCAGGTAGCTGACAGTTAAATCATGAAGTAATGTTATGACACATGAACGCAGCATAAATTGTAACTAAATTAGTATTTCCTTTGAGCAGCACCTTCTGTAAAATCCTGGACTCCTACACCTATCAGAGCTTTGGGATCTCCTTATCTTCAGGGTGAGTCATTGTTTCAGAAAGTTCTAGACATAAAAGTATTGCAGATATGCATAATTTACTTTTTGCCTTGTCTATTCCAGAGAAGGCAAATTCAGTTCCTGCTAAGTCTGTGACCTACTCAGGTCTACGGGAGTCTGACAGGTAATTGGATGGCAAACATCACACTCTCAGAACAGAGGAAGTATCTTTTGCTTTGTCTGACACTTGTGCATTGTCATCCTGCAGTGACGGCTCCTTTGAGCAGATGGGAGAAAGGAGGCGAGAGCTGGTGAGATCACAGACTCTGCCCCGTAACATCGGTGCTCAAGGCCGTCGAGCTATCTTTGAAAGACTGGATTCTGAGGCCAGGTGAGAGCATCGCAATGCTACCTTTGGCAGCACATCAATACAGCGGTCTTATTTATCTTTGTTTCCCCTTTCTTTCTGTGCGCAGTCGTCTTAAACCAGTGGAGTCGAAGCCCAAGCTGAAGCGCTCTCAGAGTTTCGGGGTGTCCACTGCCAGCAGCATCAAACAGATCCTTCTCGAGTGGTGTCGCTCCAAGACCATCGGCTACCAGGTAAAACACTCATTATCATTAGTCTCACCAGCCAATAAAGCCTGGAGGGGAACATGTCACACTTTTGTAAATGTATATGTTTTTTAAATGTATTAAATTATCTGTAGCTATTGAATATTTTGACAAATAGGCTTAAACACTGATTTTCTACTTTTCACCTTCTCCAGAACAGATGATGGTCAGTTACCTTCGTCAACTGTTTCCTGCTCTCCACACAGTCACTGACATCACTTCACTTCACCATAGCACAAAACAAACTTTCAGAGATGTGCACCACATAGATAATCCAGTGTGCCTGAGTATATTTCAGCCAGAGTTACTTCTTTCTTCTTTGTTTATTTTTTTTGTTGCACTCTAACGTAGTGGAAAATTGACAACATGTTCATGTGCTGATTAGATGTTTGCAGCTGTGCTTTACAGTTGGAAGCACAAGAACACAAGGCTGCTAATGGAAGACGCAAATACATTCATACTGTCCTCTCCATAATGTTTTACAGCTGTTGGTCTATCCAGTTTGACTTTGTGGTAGTTTGTAAGTCAAAGGAGCTTGCAAAGAAAAGCGTCTGGACTTCTTTAAGTTGCTTGAAGACGTTTCACCTCTCATCCGAGAAGCTTCTTCAGTTCTAAGGTCAAATGGTGGGGAGTCCCAGATATAAACCTAGTGGGAGTGTCCCCCCACAGAGGGACAAAAGGACCCCCTGATGGTCCTCTAATCGCCTGAGCCAAGGTGTGAAACTGGGTGTGGGTCCCAATCAGCCAGAGTTTTGGGTGAGCTCATTGTGAAACCTGGCCCCACCTTATCATGCGAATTCCTGAGGTCAGATGGCCCAGGGTGTGAGTGGGCGTTAAGGCGTCTGGGGAGGGATCTCAAAACTGGATTATAGATGGCAGAGAGTTGGTGTCGTAAACCACCGCCTCTGTTCAAAGATGGTCGCTCACAGTGGACATAGATGGCTTCTTTCACTCCTCTTTCAAACCATCTGTCCTCTCTGTTTGTAAGGTTGCTTCTCGAGCCCCACAAAATCCTACTAGCAAGTGAGCACACTACGTTACACAGCGGTATAAGGATAAGTAGATAATGGATTACTAAATGTCATCGGAAGTTTTGCATCTAGGTTCTTTTGTTTTGTGTTTTTTGATCATCCTGGCATTTTCAGATTTTTTTTATAAATGACTTGACATAAGGAAGTCATTGAAGAACAAGGCAAATTCATAGGGTAGAAAACAGGCCTTGGTGAAATTAGTTTTCTCTACAAGAGTTAATAAATACAAGAAGGTAGATATTAACCTTACTTTTATGTGTTTCCAAATAAAATAGTCCTAATTAGCTCAACGTTTTGACAAATAGACTAATTAATTTTTTTCTGAGAGTGACACAGTGTCCAGTACAAAGCAGTGGGCAAAGCAGCAATTAGCCCAAATTAGCATATTAAGAAAAAAAAGCTTCATGACCCTAAAAAATTACACACCAGACACATATAATATTTTGTGTGTTTATTTTATTCAGATCCAAATAAACAGATATAAACAATCAGACCTCTACATTTGGCAATAAGTTTGCTTGTAGCTCAAAACATGTGCTACTGCTGAATACACAATGAGATGGAAATAGTAAAATAATCACACCAGCTGCTCCGGTCAGTCAGCTCTCTAAAATGATTACTCTGTCTCCTCAGATGTGATCCCAACTCTGCCAACATGAGGTCAAACTGGCATCCTGAAATATGTATGAAAGTAATCATGATACAACTTCAACTCCTGGATCAAACGGTGAAATCCTCCCTGCTGCTGCCTTCTTGCGAGAATTGGATCGATCCAGAAACTGTTTCTTCTTTTTCTTGTCATTTTTTCTGTAAGGGTCTGTAAGGGCTTTTAGGAGCTTGAAAATACAAGTAAAGTCGTTTGGAGGTGGTTTTAACCCCGGTGATGGTAATGACCCACACCTTTCCTGACGTAATGACTCACATGATCAATAGCGGGTCAATAACCAAGTCCAAAGGGAACAACCTCTACTCAGGTTTAAATACCTGGGACTCTCCACCTTTTTTTAGACTGAAGAAGCCTCTTGGATGAGAGACACGTCATAAACTTAAAGAAGTCCAGTCCCATTTTTTTTTCAAGCTCCCAAGACTACAATGACGTGTATGACTAACTTAAAAACTTTACAAACTAGTGGCTAATGTCACGCTAGCTATATCCATCTTTCATACACATTGACACTGCACTAGAGCTCCTGGAGCTGCTGCTTGTTTATTGGACACACGTGACAGCAGTTCTACTGACTGACTTATAGGACTCTTGGAAGTGACACAAATAATTGTACTTCCCCAAATAAGCTGGACAGGGTACATAATGTGTGTCAGAGATAGAAAACTATAAATTAGAATACTCGACCTAGATACATGCAGCTGTTTCATGCTGATTTACCCTGTTGGCACACAGAGGGACTGCTAATGTGCTTACTGTGTTCCTTTCAACTACAGTAGCAGTGAGCATCCTTGTGGTAAATAGGTGCGTCTAATTGCACATGTGTGTTTTGTGGAGGTGTGGAGGCGTGGTTTATGCTGAGGTCCCAAAGTGCAAAGTGACACTTTGCTGCACTCTGAAAGCCTTTTTTCTTGACTGCAGCCTGAGCCAGCTGCTCCATGTGGTTTTGGTTACAGTCAAGCAAGCAAGACTCTTATTAACTTGTAGCAAACTCTTACATACACACACAAGAAGAAGAGGGAGACGTTCATTCGATTACATGACGTGTTGCATTTCATTCAAGCCAAACTCCAGACCAATAAAGGGGTATCCTTGAAACAGCGTGATTTCAAGAGCACGTCAGAGACTGAGAGAAGCAGAGCAGGGGGAAGTCTGTTTTAGCCATCATAATTATGGGCTAGACGCCGGATGGGGAGACGGCTTTATGAAGCTGCAACAAGTCATGTGTCTATCTTTTACCTCTCACTGCTCTCCTAAATGCAGTATTCTCACACACTCATCATCACTTCTTCCTGTCCTCAGAACATCGACATCCAGAACTTCTCATCCAGTTGGAGTGATGGGATGGCTTTCTGTGCCCTGGTTCACTCCTTCTTTCCCACCGAGTTTGACTACACCTCTTTGTCACCGGCCAATCGCAGGCACAACTTTGAGCTGGCCTTTGGAACTGCAGAGTGAGTGATAACAATATGAAAATAGGCTGTGGATAATTTATTTTTGAAGATATGACACAGTGCTGCTTCACAAGCTTAAAAATTCGTAGGTTTTACATATTATAATAATAATAATAATAATGGATTGCATTTATATAGCGCTTTTCGGGACCCCTCAAAGCGCTTTACAATTCCACTATTCATTCAGTCTCATGCTACAATGGGGAAGGCAAGCTACAGTTGTAGCCACAGCTGCCCTGGGGCAGACTGACAGAGGCGAGGCTGCCATATTGCGCCATCGGCCCCTCTGGCCAACACCAGTAGGCGGTAGGTGAAGTGTCTTGCCTAAGGACACAACGACCGAGACTGTCCGAGCCAGGGCTCAAACCGGCAACCTTCCGATTACCAGACGAACACCCAACTCTTGAGCCACGATCTATTATATTATTCTATTATATGTAGAATGGGCCTTCTTTGGACCACAGAGACATTATGTTTGTCATTCTCACCAGGTCTTAAATTATATTCTTAATGACATTCACGTATATTTTATTTTTAACAAGACACTACAAGAATGTTTTTTTAATTAATTTTAATGTTTATTATCTTCTCTCAAACATTATGTTTATTTTCATTCTGTTTTTTATTTTTTTATTTTTCATTTCAATATTTCATTTAGTTTTGTAAAACCAAAATATTTCCTTTCATTTTGCTTTGATGGAAGGTTAATTCACTAAAAAGAGATACGTTTTCACACGGCTCTTTGCAGTACTATAAAAAAAATTCCCTTCTACAGGAGGAGGAGGATAGATAGTAACCAATAACCAAATGCACTTGACTAACTGATCAGAGAGTGTGAGCGCATCTGTAAAAGCAGGTGTGTGTGTGTGAACACAATGCCACAACCTTCGCAGGATTAGATGTCCAACCAAATTCTCTCAAAGGTCCAGCACTCTGAAAAACTGCAAGAAACCCAAGAGCTCCATCTCAGCATGTTAAATGTGCAGTAAGCTAATTATGTTAGACATAAATTAGCCCAGATGTCACAGTTTTCCTTTAACTTCCTCCCACTTTTGTTGTGTTACAAACACAAACAGTTATTAGTTAGCTGGAGCTCAGTTGTGGTGTCTGGATTCTGCTAATATGGCTTTAAAAGATTTATGAGCCTTAACTCCATCAGCCATGCATGTCTGCTTTATTGTGGTTGGATGTTTCTGAATGGCTTTTCTCTCTTGGTTTGTTTTATAGCTCTCCACAAAGACCCAAATGCACGCGTTTTAAACGATCATTACTCCTGCAGATCCAGTCCTTTTTATTTCTCCATGCTTTTTTCCCCTCCCTTTTTCACATTTGATGAAAGGTGTGCATTCCTTTTCCCTGACCAAATGGCTTCATAAAGCCCAGCTTATTATCCCACTGCACTACACAGACCCACAGCATGGACGTGCACTACTTGATTAAAGACTAGTTTATTTTGTGCCTGCAGCAGAATTAAGCTGTTTTGACTGAAAAGCATTATTCAGTGGGTTCAGTGACCAGCTTTAGACTTGACCTCTTAAAGAGATCTGAGACTTACAGGACAGTGAATACACATATCAGGATGATTACATCCATCATGTCATTCTGTAACAAACTGTAACAAAACACGTTTGTTAAAAATCCATTTTCAGCAGCTTTACAGGTTCAGAACGCGACTGGCTGCTGTGTATTTTTTGCATGATACAGTTCAGTCCTGTAACTCGTAAAATCAATAATTAGATAATAATTAGGTAAATAAATTAAGTATAAACTGAAGGAGTTTTTTTAAAGAAAAACTTCAATCTTCTTCTTTAGAAAGTTAGAAAGTCCACTCTTTGAAATACCCCTGATGCCACTTCTCTAGCCTTCCCTTTTCTTAACTTGTCTTCCTTTATCTCCACCTCCAGAACGAAGGCAGGCTGTGACCGGCTGATTGAGGTGGACGATATGATGATCATGGGCCGTAAGCCAGACCCCATGTGCGTCTTCACCTACGTGCAGTCCCTCTACAACCACCTGCGGAAGTTCGAGTGACGCTCAAAGACCTCTTTGAAAACATCAACATGCTATCAGCTAATTTGTGGTTTGCTGTCAGGCAGAGGCCTCTGCATGTAGGGCTGGTGGACAGAGCTGGCACTTTGGAAGGACTAGGTCGCCCCCTAGTGGTGGATGAATAAACAATCCTCTACTGTGCTGCAGGAGAAGCAGCCCAGAGGGGAAGTGCTCACAGCTTGGGTCACTGACAGAGTGGACAGTGTTTCATCCATACTGTGTATGAACAGTCATGAAGATGGATTCATACACAGCGGTCAGCAGTTTGTGTGTATGTGTGTGTGGTTTTTATTTAGGTTTTTACTTTGTGTATGAGTATTTGTGTGTATGGCTGAGATATGCTGGAGAGAGAGCAGAAATGTTGCTGTGTTCATTATTGTCACACATGCTTGTAGGTTAACCTCCATATTAATTTCAACTTGCGCACCTGTGGAGAGGAGGTATGTCTCAGAAATGTCACATTCCGTAAGGCTGTACGTCCGACTGTTTAGGGCATATATGATGCAATGTTGTAGAAAATAAAATGATATTTTGATATGATGGTGAGCAATCTTTCAATCCACATATGCTGGATGACACTTAGATGACGCTGAAATATGGAAAACAACATCAAGAAATTTCACTTCTCTGGGGAAACTGTTTTTTTCTTAATATCTACTTCTATATTATGACACAAGTGAAACGAATTTAAATAAACAGTGAAATTTATATGTTGCAGTTTTTTTCTATCCTGGATTCATTGGGAACTAAGCAACGCTAAATTTATGGTCACTCAAGTTACAATTAAAGAGTAACATAAAACATAGCAATTGCAAATAGTTGATCATGTGATCAGACTTTTGTAAATCCATAAAGTTGTGTGATTGTTTGGGTCTGTGTGGTTTTTAAGTGTCTCTTCCAGTTGTTGGAGCTGATTGCAGCAGGACAGCATCAGTTTCCAGACCATCTGCAATGTGTGGAGATTTTATACCATGTGTATGATATGATCTTAGGTTCCTCCACATCGTACAAGCTCAAATATATTACCTAAAGATCAATTCTGCTTGGAAGTTCCAGCTAACTGGATAGACTTTCAGTGTTACTTGGTCAGAAAGCCATAGTGCTGTGCTTCTGTCTCTCCTAAATTATAACAGCTGGCAGGTCAGATTTGTTGTTATGACCATGATCGTCTTCTAAACCTAACCAAGTAGTTTTTAACCACATTAGCCTGACAATTGAGTAGAAGATTAAGTATAAGTATTAAGCAAGAAAAAAAAAAAAGAAAAGAAAGAAAAAACAGCAAGTGAGAAAAAGCAAGTGTAAAACACAAAGGGATGCCCAACTCATGAACAAACCATGATCCAACCTCATAATGTGGACTGTGCCTCACCTCTAGAATGTAAATTATCTCATGGGAACTGTAGGAGCAATGTAACGGTAGACGCAGAAGACAAAACCTACTATGTGACACCCCAGGATAGTTGGGATTCCTGCATTTCTTGACCTGGTTGAACAAAATCAGCACAAGTTTCTGAAAAAGACTGAATAATAAGATTATTTTTCCATTATTGTCTTTCCAATGTCCAACTAGTGTTGACACCAAACTGTGTAATGGAAAGGCATCTACATATATTATGTTCTCACCTGAGAACAAACTTTAAACAAAAACATGACCCTAACACCTGTACACTCTCAGAAATAGGGCTAAAGTGAAAAGTTCATTATTTTTCTTACATAACCAAACTCCCTACAGCGGGATTTAAAATTCAAATAAATATTTCCCATGGGCGCCGTCAGGGGGAGAAAAATTACGGATTCTAAGCGCCCGTAACTTTATTTTATTTTATTTTATTTTTTTAACAAAAATTATTAGCCCATCAATATGGCTTCCATACATGACCATAAATGCGGTTTGCTTCAAAGGTGTTTGTTTCCTAATATTGGTTTTGTTTTGTTTTTCGAAACAAAGAGTAAATCCAGTCAGCCTCTGACCCCACCTCCCCCGTCCTTATTTCGTGATTTGGTTTAGTCCAGGTGCACGCGCTGACGCTGATCTTTGGACCGGTAGGAAAAGAGACAGGTGGAAATATACTTGTACATGAAAGAAACTGCTTGACTTTCCTAGTGTTAGCTAGCTTACCTCATTTCTTATTTTCTTATTTTTCTTATTTTTCTTATACTTTAGTCAACAAGTAATTGGTGCAGGCAGACCTTCTGTACATATGTACACTAAATCACATATCTGCAGGCTTGCTGCAAGAACCAACAGATCAAACCTCTGGCTCAGGCTTGGCTGTCCCACTGATATCACCCCACACCCACACACCTGACACTGAACCAGCCTCACTGATATCTGAAGAAGCAGGTGAGTTATTTTATGTCAAACATGTGTCTAGTTGCAGCAGGCCTTTTTTCGGTAATAACAATACATTATCTTTATAAGCCACATAAACAGCATTTTTGGAGGAGTGTGACTGTTGCAGGTGGTGAGCGCTTTTAGTGAGCAAAGACAGATTAAACCTATTTGAGTTCCACTAGGTCTCAGGGCAGAGATATATTTTAGTTCAATAAGGTACTTTATCTTCTGTGTGTGCTCACTAGTTCATTTCAGTGTTCAGATGTACTCTGCAAGTACAGCCACACTGTTTACTGGTGACATTTATCACATTAGCTGTTAGCTTGAGAAGGAGGATGTGGCAGAACACAAAGATTATCAAGTGTCATAATCTTACATCACATGAGATGTTTTGTTTGGTGGGGAAAAAAGAGGTCATAAAGACTGCAGCAGATTAAATAGTCTAAGGACCTACTTGGAAAAAATGCAGAATAATT